CCCGAAGATTTTCGTACTTTTAACCAAGAAATTGTGCTCTCTCGAACGGGAAAGGGGGAAGCGGTAAATAGACCACATGAGGCATAAAAAGCCACGAACTGTTCGCAACCTCTCTTAGGACTAAAGAAGTGAGATACCATCCCCCTCCCAACAATGAGCAAATACGACCCTTCCCCTGTCCTTGAAACAAGAAAAATTAACTATCGAGAAAAATTTTCCCAGCCGAATATGACCCCCCCCCTCGTTGGCGAATCACCAACAACGATGTGCCCTTTGTCGAGCGGGGGGAGGCGGGTACATCGTACATATCGTACACGTGACACAGGAAACACCACGGAAGCTAACATATTCTCTCAAGAAGCCAGAAGGTAAATACGACCCCACGCCTCCCCCCCCCCTCCCAGCAACAAGCAAATACGACTCCCGCCCTTTATATCATACATATGTATATTTATCCCTGAACAAAGAAAAATCAATTCATCAAAAAACTTCCTTAGACCATCTCTCCACTCCCCAACGACCATATATGACCTCCCGGTTATGGATTTGCCAACGATAATGTGCGTTCTCCACCGACGAACGGGAACATCAAAAGTTAAGGGATGGATCTATTGCCGTGCGCGTACAGATTGTCCTAGCTCATCCCCTCGTTTAGTTCGCTACCTTCAGTTCATCTATCTAAAAATCGTTAAAATTGTTTGCGTGGCTGAAACTATAATCACACCGTACTCCTGCTGTACACATTATATTCAAGCTAGCTATGAGAGAGTTCTTGAACCCTAACGTCTGATTCTACAACGCTGAGAGCTCTATCATATATGGGTACGCATTTTGGTGCATATGGTGCATACCACCCGTACAGTTGTAAGCGAAACAATGACCACTGAGAGGGATGAAGATTTCTGCATATATCTGAAGCGGGGAAGAGCTCCGGATAGGTGAACCAATCCCTTTGCAGCAAAAACGATTTTTGATCACCAGGTACTATGTGCCCTTATTGGATTGGCGCCGCACTGCAAGCTACTTCACTCTGAATATTGGACCTTTTCTTGGCAGTGACAGGAGACAGATGTTCCGACAGTTTGAAAGCCAAATCACAAAATTTTATTACTTCTTCGCCATTATCACAATAAAATAATATTTCACTTTACATCTCCAAATAGCTTAGCCATTCAAGAAACCTGTTCCTAAAGCTGTCAGCATGAACGAACAAAGATGACTGCCTTTCTCGTACTCTTACAGCATAGCATTCCTAAACAAAAATACCGCCCAAAATGCCAAAATTTAGATAGTACTTCGGCAAAAAGGAACATATTAAAAGCAGCCAAACGACTATTCACAACATAGGATTACTCAATTCATGCATACTGAACACCAAAAAACCCGAAAAATAACAGGATACGTTACTCGCACAACACGTGGATCGCGACTAGCTGTGCGAAGAAACCATCGATCTCATAAGCGATGCCGATAACTTCTCCAGTCTTTTCACGTCTTGCAGTTGATTGGTACTGAACTGGACGCACACCACATCATCGGTCATTTTCATTGTTAACTTGCCATCTCGATGATTGTACTTCGTCACAAATCTGAAACACTCTAGTCATAGATCCCTCCAATAAACCCCCAAAATCAAAATTAATATTAGGAATTGAGAAAAAAAATTGCAAACGGTGCTGAGAGCAGCCTGTTCCTATACGACTTCAGTGTAATACCGCGACAATGCCAGTCTCAACGAACACTTTGAAAATACAAAGAAAAAGCACCAACTGCGCTACGAGAGATACTTGCAGGGCAGAGGTTTTATGGCAATTACACCACCACTCAAAATGACGTAATTCTGCCTCAATTCTTCCAACATCCGGATAACAACATTATTAGTCGCAGAAGTGGCATATGATGATGAATAATCACACTCACAGAAATGACTCATTCACTGGAACATGATCCACTTCTTCTTCATCTACTTTAAACAGTCGTTTTCATTGAATGTAAACGTCACATAATTCTTTTCATAACTTTGGTCTATCTCAAAATTGTTAACGTCTTCAATAAGTATTGGGTTGCTCCATAAGTAATGGCGTTTTTTCTCACTCGAAATTTCGCGGTAAAGATGAAACCTTTCGCCATTGGGTTTCACACGGTTTTGCAGAGTATTCTCCGCCTCATAAGAGAGATAGATTGATATAAGATATAAGTCCTCTCTTTTCTTTTGGAGATGTTATTCCCACCTATTTTCAAGAACTCAAGTTGGAGTGCCAGGTCGAACAAATGGGGTATTTTTAACAGCCTCTCTTTTTCACGATTAATTGGAAAGCTAAAACCGCACAGACTCATTTGCTAAGTATACAACCAAGAAGCTACGTTCGGCAGAAGTGCGCATAATCGTTTGAGCGATTCAAAAGTTCTACCTCACAGACAAGCATCGAACCTAGCCCTATTGAGTCCAACTGGGAGCTTACTGACTGACCTTGTTCGCGGATATACATGTCATGTCATAAGAATGGGGAAAATGGTAGATGACGTGGAATGCTCTCACATTTCCATTGTGGATAAGCTTCACTTAGTGGGAGAGGTTCAAAACTTGCTGGATGGATTCTGCAAGTAGTCGCTCCCCGAAAGGATGCCCCATGCGATGGAAACTGACGAGGTCCGGATTCCCATTTCTGAATCGCTGTGACCACTTTCAAGGCTCCTAGGTGGCGTCATTCCTTCTTCGTATACATCACAGGTTTTGACCTTTGCAATTTCTGAGCCTAGATTAAGAGCCAAAGTTGTTGTCAAAGACTCACATTTGTGTTGACCCGGCACCCATTTCAATGAAATAAAAATCGACAAAAATCAAGAAACAGTAGGGAGGCAACCTTACGATCATGTAGAGCAGAAAATTATCTATTAAATGGTGTAGAGAACAGAAACAATTCTCCGTTCTCATATAATTGTAAGAGGAAAACGCCATTACTTACTGGCCAACCCAATGCGTATAAGTATCACGAATTCCAGTGCAACACGGGTGTGGGCTTTTGTATGATATTGGAATGACTAAAAACAACTGCGTTTTTCCTGAGTTGAAATTCAGAGACTTTTCGTACTGTAAGGCATATCTCAGTTTGTTAAGTGGATATGGAGAACTCGCGTATAAGAAGTGAATTTGAATCTTCCACGGCTACAAGTCAGGAATTATCTGGGAATGGTAATCAAAATAACCAAGGAAAGTTGTCCCCCAATTGGACAACCAGGAGATCGCACTTCACTCAAATCAACCAAATTCTCTCCAAAGCCTCCAGTTCCACAACAAAGGATTGACAATCCAACAAGTCTTTTTACAGCTCCTACTCAGCTCTACTTCCTCCAGGTGGAATAGGGTCTCAGAACATCAGCTAAATTAGATTGGATTTCAACTCAGATTCAGCTTCCATTCTTCGACTATTCCGTTAGCAGAAACTGCCTTCGAAAAAATTTTCATGAGGGAACTTTCAGGAGATCAGTGATTTATAGCTTTAACACATGCGTGCTTGAATCTTATAAATGGCACATCACAGAATCTAATAAATGGTGCATCACCATCAAAATGGGCCCATTAATAGTCGGCGAAATAATATCAGTATATTTCCGAAACTGAACAACGATTTCTTTAACACTGTTCAAAAGGAACAGATATGATTAGTACGTTTATAGAGACCTATGGCCATGGGGAGTCTGTCAGGCCAGGAACCAATATTAGATGCATTTCGCATGCAAACAACGCACTCTCATTCTGCGAATGTTGAAGTGTAAATCCTGGGTATAAGTAGCTAGGTATAAATCTACCCAGCTCCATCTACGTCTATTCAGTTTTGTGAATTTAATGAAATTACGGAAAAGAGGGGCAGTTGATGAGTGAATTGGTCCTATGGTTGGCCCTCATGAAATCTCTTTGATGACGTTTACTTTGAATTACCAGAAAAAATCAAGAAATAACAGAGCGAAATTGAGATGGATGGAAATGGCCAGAGTTAGCCTCTGTCCCCCCCCCCTCTCCCTTCGGTCCAGATCAACTACTCATTTTCCACATATAAGCATGATCATATCTTCCACAATTTCAGTTTTCGTAATTTTCTTATTGGGTTCTCGATACTGTCTTATTGAAATAAAAAATATTACGCGTATACAGGGTACAGCGTCGGGATAAAAGGGATAAGTAGAATAACTGTGTCATTGCGACCCTCCTCAATATTTTTCCTTCCTCTTATAATGTACACTACCCTTACCGAAAATTGGGAGACGGGCAAGAGAATTGTCAATTGCCGATTCGTCGCGCGCGGCAATGGGCGCGACTTTCCTTAACTTGCACTATCCTTTTGACTGGAGCATCGGATTTTATGTAGACAGGACATGGTAGATACTTATATCTATAGGTTGGAAGGAAAGTCTTGTCACTGTTGTGACTTTTTTCTTTTTTTATTTTCTAACTCAACATACAGTGGGAATTAGTCAACAATATACTCGTCATAGTTAGCCACTACAGTGCTCCACCTAATGGACAGGTAAGCATTCCCCCTCTCCCAGAACTGAGAAGGCTGCGAGTAGAGTAAGCGCCCTCTCGACTGATGTCATCAAAGTTGCTGAAAGTTTTCTTAGCTAAGAAAGCCTTAAGGAGGCGGAGCAGGTAGCAGTCGTAGGGGACTACGTCAGGAGAATATATGAGCGGGGACTGGTCTCCAGCCTTGCTCCTCAATTATTTGGTAGGTCTTCATAGCAGGTATGGGGTCTCGTGTACTACGAACGAGGTGACCCGAAGCTAGTCTCGGTCATTTTTCTCCAACAATTTTCACTCGTTTCGGGAGCTGAGCGACACAAATGGTGGCGGTGACCGTCTGTTCTTATGGGGCAGCTCGTTCTGCAGCACCTCCTCGCGTCCCAGGAGCAGCACAGGAGAACCTTTTCGGAATACATGCCCGGTTTGGACTGCTAGAATGGATCTTCTCCTTGAGAGAGACAAACGGTACTGTGTGGGTTGAAATCATAGAGGACCCATCTCTCATCCCCACTAAGCAGTCTCCCGGAAACTCCTTCTGACGAGGGCAGAGAAGGGGAGACTGACCAAGGGGTACCCGGGTGCACAGCGTGCCATCGGTCAAGGTATGAATGATCCATCAAGCCAGTACTTCTTGGTAGTCAAAGGCTTACAGGCGGTGGACGACTGTCAGTTAGGTACATCCGAGTCTTGTCGCAAGACTGCGGGTGGTAGCCTCTGGATCCCCCTTGTCTGCTTCGAGAATGGTGGAGTCTTATACTTCTTGGGGCCGTCCCAACCAAGGTTTGTCTTCGAGGATCGAGTCTCTTTTCGCGAAGCGAGCGAACTAAAAGTGAACGATCCTGACGGTAGTGGTGTCCTCCCTCAATGCACTGTTGATGTTACGGACAGCTGCCGTGGCTCCAGTGCCGCGGGGCCACTGATAGAAGATGATGACTCGAAGATACTCCTGTGAAACTGACATCGTAATTAAACCCAGGGAAGAGCAGGCGCCCTCACACGCCTCTTGCAGGAAAGCTCCCAGAGTGTCCTACAAGCATAGCATGTTACGTCATGTACGAGCATCGAGAATCAAAAACTGTAAGCTTTTCAAAAAACACTGACAGGACTTTCCTTCCAACCTATATTTTCGGTCATATATTATGTACTCTCTACCAATACCACCAAAAACCGTCGTCATTACATCGCGACATCGCACGCGACACCCACTGGCACGGCGAATTACGATTCCCTTCCCACATACCCCGAAAATTGGAGCGTAATAGAGGATGGAGTAGACATAGAACTCCGAATAACTATCAAAATTATAGCTCTGGAGCACCACAAGTATGGTGTGTTATACAGCGCGCGCGAAAAGAGAAAAATCAACATCAGAGAGTCTTCCCTCAAGAACAAATACCTATCCTCTAGGCGCTTTGCTGTTCATCTGTTCATATACGAGATCTCTTTTCTAGACAGCTTCGAGCGGAGATAGCTTAATACTCCCGATTGCGGGCAAAAACTAACGAGATCGCAAAGGTCTTCTAGTCTACTCAGGAAACTTCTGAAAAATTTGATTTCAAAGTGACCAGAACTTCATTGGGTACACATATGTGAACGCAACTTGACGAAAGAACCAATAAGAGTGAGACCGCAGCAATCTTAGGATGACGGTCTTCCAAGGGCGATTAGACGAAGAGCCTTTATGTGATGTTCTGAGCGTACTCACTTTTACAGACTCATCATCTAAGTGTTACACCTGACGTTTGAAGCGATATCACATAAAATGACTCGTAAAAGTTCTCGCGATTGTGGGAGGACTAGTGCTGATCTCGAACTTTGCGGTAGTGAAGACGTTTGGCCAAGTGGTCTAGTTCCGAAGAAGGCGGCCCTGCCGAAACGAAAGCTAATAAAGCTGATATAAAAACCCCATAGGAAGTTGAAGTCAAGCACCTTGCAGTCGACACTATGTCGAGGTCTTAAGATTAAGATCGAGATAATACTAAAGTCAGGATTGAACACGGAACCAAACAGCTGTACTGGTATAAGAAACCGGCGTCAAAAAATGTATTACTACACTCCAGAAGTTGCCACCCGTCATATATGAAAGCGAACGTAGTTCGCAATTTGATCAAGACAAAAGGAAAGGACATGTACGCAGCGGTCGCAACGAGTAGATACAATGGTGGACCGAATTCTCGGGGATAATGGATACATCAATACACGTGTTAACACATGGAGACCGTACTCGACACCGGATGGGATTCCCTTGGTAATGCCATATACCTCAATGAGAGTACGGCGGTAAAAGTTAACACCATAGTTAAAGGCTCACCACTCCCCATACGTCTCATATTCCGTCCACCACCAAATCTTAAAAGACTACTCACGTACTCCAGGCCTTATGAAGAAAAATGTGGACGAGGAAGCTGCACATACTGTAATGATAGAAAAATATGTCAACTTAGGGGAACGGTATATTTGATAGAATGCCAGGGATGCGGGCAAAAGTACATTGGAGAGACAAAGAGGCCACTCTACAAACGACTAGATGAACATCGCAGGGCCCTACACAATCCAGCTTCGTATCCGGACAACAGTCTCTCAAAGCACCGCACCAAAATGCATGCACACGAAGGTCCTCCCGCACTTACCATTACGGTATTACACCGCTCCATAGAAAATCCGGTGGAAAGAAAGCTATTGGAAGGCACTGGAAATAAGAAGGCTCTCCCCAGAAATGAGCAGCTGATTCACTGACTACGTGATAATGGTGGAGCGGTCAGTGATATCATATGCAGAAGCGCTCACTAGGCATCCTCACTATTTAAGGAGGGTGACGGGTAGGGTCACAGTCACCACTAGAAGGCGCGGCGTTCGCAAGGAGCAGCGGCGGCATATTGTACTACTGGAGGCAGCAGACCAGGTCAGAGTCCAGAACGGAGGGCAGGCGGCTAAATGTAGTATTTCAGATCGCTGAAGAAGGTGCTAGGCACCGAAATATTCGAAGAAGAAGGAGTTAAACAATAAAAAAATTTTTGTGAAAACTTTTGGATTCTTTTGAATCTTTTGAGTCTTTCGCAATAAATTTTGGCGCCTCTTTTATGTGTTTAACTATGTCGAGGGTTATGGAACACTGTGCCCGACGACTCATCGACTTATTTTCATTTCTTATTAGTTACTATATCCTCAATCCCAATATGTAGAAGCAGTGCGCACAATTTTAGGGCCTCCTCCTTGCCAAAATTAGGGCTTCCTCCTTGCCAACATTGAGCAAACGGGGCCTGACACAGCTCTATTTCTTAATCAGTTTAATGAGTCACCTCAGAGAAAAAAGCTACAAGTTGTAAACTGCGATGTTCTGAAAGCACTTAGCATTTGTGTCCAATGACAACCACTTCATTCGAGATCAAGTGTCTTCGTAATGCCAACGTCACGTCTCAAAAAAAACTTGTTTTACCACATAATGAAGAGTTTTATTAGAAGTGATCCAATTGGTCCCGATGGTATCCTCTGAGTGTGCTCACAGTGAAGATTTCGCTATTTTTCATCTGTGGTGAGGATGCATCTCAATTGAAATTAGAACTAACAATACTGAATGCGATATGTCTATACAACGATGTGCGCGGGGAAGCCAGTCTACTAGTCACTGTTTCTATTCTCCCAAACGGGTCTGTTAGCAATTTACCGGTACAAAATACGGAAAGGCTTATTAGGCCCTGGCGCCCATCCAGGATTTGACTCCAGACCGCTTCACTAAATTGCAGTAAGCGGTGCACTTGCCACTGCACCATCAATGAAAAATTGGGAGAGTGAAAATAAAATTGTAAAAATGAAAAGAAAGCTGCGAAAATGATTGGTGATCACTGATTGTTCCCCAACCAAAAAAAATCTTCGTGGAAAGCGGTTTTCTGGTGATGAAGAGGTAAAGCCGGCAATTACGCACATTCTGAGGACAATGAGGGAAATTTTTAGAGGGTATTGAAACGTTAGTTTCCCCAGCAAACAAGTGTGTTGAGGGTATGGCGGATTTGATTGAAAAACAAGTTTTACTCAGAATTTTCTACCTTTTCCTTTATGCCTATAGCGAGAGTACACTGAACATCCCTCGTATATAACGCAACGCTTGGAAGCTCCAGCACATGATTACAGCACAGAAAAAGGCGAAATCAAAGAGTGTGAACCAATACCAGGTCTCCATTGAGATTTAAGAAGACCAAATCTACCTCTAGAAGCAAGGAGGCTCACGAACTAATGTCTGTTTTAGTGTGAATAATGAAAATGCTGGTAAAGTCACGTACAGCACTAGAACGAAGTCCATCAACCATTGCCCTTGATGGACATAATTTTTTAATTATGCAGATGATCGTACAGATAATTGCGAAGCGCCCAACACACGAACCGTTCAAGCAAATAACGATCTTATGTATGTTGAGGCCGCCCTCATACTCCCATCCTTACTACTGGAAAACGAGGGAACCCTGAAGAGGAAACTATAGTTACGATTAAGCGAGTCGGAGAACAGCGGAAGTGGAAGAGCTGAAGAATGGGCTAATCCGAAGATGATTATGAGTGTCCAGGTAGAGAATCGGCCAATTCGCATCCAAGCCTTTCAGTGCGTTCTCGCACGGAATCTGCGGAAATGACGAAAAGCATAATATACACATCGATTTGAAGAAATGCAGAAATGCCGAAACTGCAGAAGTGCGGAATCTGCAGAAAGTGCGGAAAGTGCGGAATCTGCAGAAATGACGAAAAGCAACCGATACGTATCGATTTTCCGCAATTCGGCATTTCTGCATTTCTTCAGATTCCGCATTTCTTTAAATCGACACGTATCTGCTGCTTTTCCGTCATTTCTGCAGATTTCCGCACTTCTGCAGTTTCGGCATTTCTGCATTTCTTCAAATCGATACGTATGTAATGCTTTTCGTCATTTCCACAGATTCCGCACTCGCACTTCTGAGTCTCCTGCTTCACTGTCGCAAGCTATGACGCGGCCTTACGCAGCTTTCGTCGGTTACGCAGCTTTCGTCGGGCTGCGTAACCGACGTTTTCGACGTCATTCGATACGTATCTAATCTTCGTTAGGCACTGTTCAGTCTGCGACCCTGAAGAAACGGCGGTTGGGGAAAAGCAATAGATGTGTATCGATTTCGCTGGCGAAAAACGCCACGGCGATCGAGCTAGCGTTTCGTCGAAGGCGAAAAACGTCGCGGTTTGGCGAAACGCCCGTCGATTCGTATCAAAACCCTTTCGCCCAACCGCCAGACTCTTCGCCCAACCGCCAGTCGATACGTATCGAAAGCTTTTCGCCGAACCGCCGCGTTCCAGAGAAACGCTGGACCGCAGACTGTGAACAAGCCGTACGTCGACACGTGGATCTATACGTATCTAGTCTGTAGTCGTCGAAAAATGACGGTTACGCAGCTTTCGTCGGTTTCGTTGACGACGACGTCGCACGGTATGAAAGCAGCCTTAGTGAAGCGCGTCATACGTGTATTGCAAATAAACAAATAAAATGAAAATTACCTCAAGTCACTGACTTGAAGTTTTTGTGATGTAAAAGCAAGTAAAAATGCTCATGTTCACTTAAAAATCAATGCAGCTTAGCACTGCGCCCAGCACTTGAAAAGTGTGAAGTTAAAGAGAACTTGGCCGAAGCTCACCTGCATTTCTCCGCACTCACTGAGTGCAGCTTCTCAACCGCTTTCGCAAACTCTTCCCAACTCGTGAAATAAGTCATCTGAAATCAAGTGAACCCGTTACAACCGTAAATAATCGTAAATGGGAAGCACTTTAGGAAGAACACCAACGTTGTGCAAGTCGCTCCAATCGAAATCTTGGCACAGCGCCATCACGATCGGTACCGCTATCGCTTGGGGACCCCAAAATGAAAATTGCGGCAACGTCCATGTTTTGAATTTTGAATACATACTCAGATCCTATGAGGGGTTCTGGTATTGTTTCTTGCAGAATATTGTTCTTTTTGCTTGCTCAGTGACAATCTTATAATATCACGAAGACTAAAACCGCAAATTGTTGGTGTGACCGCTATTTTTGCGACTTGTGTTCCATATGCGCTGAAAAATCTAAAACTGCAAGTTGTTTTCTGTTCCTCGTTTGTAGCAAGTATTTTAATCACGTGAACATGGGGTTGTTGGAGGGGCTCTGTTGTGTGGACTAATTCAACGTTGCTTTTATATCAATTTCTCCGGCAGTTCCTTCCGGGGCCCTGCTTCCTGAAGCTCACCTCGCCAATGAACCTTTTCGTGTTCACGGAATAACATGCGGTCATTGCATTCCAATTGTGTTCTAGAGCTTTTCGATACATCTGCTATTTTTTTCATTTGGTATAGATTAATTTATAACATTTTATCTGCTTACGCTTTTAATTTATAATATTTTATCTGCTTACGCTTTATCTCCGAAGCTTCTACCGTGAAGGAGTGTTTTCAATGTGGATGTTATCACCTGCGTATGTTGAGCTTTTGTATGTGCTTCTGTTGTCCACAATTACTTACCTTCTCATTAAGGCGATTGGCCAGTTCTAACATTTATACAACTCACTCGACTGGTTTAACATTTCGCGTAACATGGGTGACGATATTCCGGTGAAGGTCTTTGTTCGCGCAAGACCTTTCAGTGACAAGGAAAAACTTGAGAACGCTCGAGAGTGTTTGCAGATTTTCGTCGAGTCAAATCAGGTGTCTTCTTGCTATGTAACCGATAGTTACTGTAGGCTTTCGACTAATCTCTACTTTCAGATCACATGCAATGGCCGGGCTTTCACGTTCGATGGTGTGCTGGATCCTTCAACTCCACAAGATACTGCTTATGATGTGACAACTTCCTTTCTTCTCGAGCAGTTCTTCAAAGGTACACACATCTTTCTGAGGCGGAGGTGATCACTGGCAAATGCCGCTTACCCACGTGCGCCGATACAGCGTTGCCAAACCCCGGACTGGATCCTCTCCGGGCAAAACAAGCCTTCTACCCTGCCCGGGACAGTGAATTGGCACCAAGTTCGTCCTGGGATGGATGAGACCTTTAAGTTGTACATCAGTTGGCCCCACCATGTCATTGCATAAAACACATCCCCCCACCTTCCAGGAGACCTACAATCCTGAATAGAAGTAGAATGCGTGCCGCATCTCAAGAAGGGATTGATTAACGGCGATGACCTTATCCTTCACTCCTTTATATCTTTCCACTTTACCATCGGTGCAAACTTAGTCGAGGGGGCCCATGCAGCAGCGCGTCCATACCTACTAGGCAAGAGTAGGTCGCGGCGACCCAGGCCGCTTACACTCTGCCAAGTTTGGGTCCTTGGAAAAGGGATGTAGACACGGTGTCGCGCTATCCTCCGTCAGCTGAACTGATCTTGCTAGCTTCTCAGCGTGTATTAGGCTCACTGAAAAGAGATCACTATTAAGGTTTCAATTGCACTGTGTTGGCATATGGTCAAACAGGAAGTGGTAAAACGTTCACAATGGGAACGGAGGAGACCACAGCCAGCATGAAAAGCGAGACTAGAGGCATTATTCCCCGTCTAGTTGATGCGATATTCCGACAGATCGGCGAAGCTGGTCTTGAAATGTGTTTTAGGGTATGTTTGTTATAGTCCTATTTCCTTGCCCTTTTGACTGGGTTTATGTCTTTATTGAACGTACGCATAACTAGCTACTAAGTAAGCAGTATAATCTCTCCCGTAAGTAAGTAATCTGACTCCAGCAAGATTGCGCGCTTTTTGTTGCTCGAAAAGGGGTGCAGGCCTACCATTCAAGCCTGCGGGTTTGTTATGTACCATACATAACACACATGTTACGCTGCACTGTGAGCTCTTTCGTCGCTCATTTTTCCGGTCCTTCGCCCGTACGCGCAATCTTTTTCCTTTTGCTTACTCATAAAATGCTTCGAAACAGGATTAGTAGGAGAAGTCTAAATAAAATTCCTCAATAAGGTATCACAAGAATGCTAAGTTATGGTCAAGATCCAGACAGCAGACGGGCTCGAACCTACACCTCCCGCTGACCGGGCGAGTGCGCTATCCACTACGCCAAAGGTCGCTCTTCCCCCCTCGGCTCAACGGCTTTTGTGCACGCCTGGTCAGCGGGAGATACGGGTTTGAGTCTCGCTTGGGGCCTGACTTCTTGCCAACAGCTCAGCTCTACTGTGATAAATTTCGGAGCGCGCACTGTGGCATTAAATAGCAGTTATCGAACATGAAACAGTTAGGTTTTCGTGTCAGTAATTCAGGAGGATTGTGATTGTACCCTTCTCATTATTGTGTCTCTTTTCACACATATTCTCATTTAAACCTCACAATTCACAACTAATAATCGTAACATGTGGCTTTGACCAAGGTTTTCCTAGGACAAATAGGATTTCCTACGAGAGTTTTCTTTCTGATAGTTAACAACCAATGTAGGTGTTAGTGTCAATGCTCGAAATATACGACGAAAAGGTGCATGATTTGCTATGCGGAGGAAGAGAGCCTCTTCAAGTTCGAGAACAAGATGGACACGTTTTCGTAAGTTGTTTCCTCACCCGTACTGTCGGTTTTTATCGCCTTATCGACATTTTCCAAGGTACAAGGGCTATCGAAGAACCAGGTTCACAATTTGAAGGAGACTATGGCACAACTTGAAAAGGGTGGATCTCTGAGGAGTAAAGGGCAGACAGCAATGAATGCTCAGAGTAGTAGATCACACGCCATATTTACTATTTCGTTGGAGAAGACGGCAGCCGGAGAAGAGTAAGTATGAGGGGAATTTGATTCACATCACTAACAAAGTTCATGATTTGTATTCTAAGGGATACTGGTTTTACCGCAAAATTGCACCTTGTGGATCTTGCTGGATCAGAACGTTTGAAAAAGACACAAGCCGAAGGAACACGCAAGATGGAAGGTATACGGATTAATGAAGGTGAGTGCTGAGGTCTTCTCTCCCCATTGTACTTCCAGCAAAAACTGCACCTTGAAAAAAAGCCGTCTGTTTCCGATCAGTTGATCACGGATTCCATTGTCATGGATTTCAGGTCTGCTAGCGCTAGGAAATGTCATATCCGCTTTGTCAGAATCCGCTGGCAGTCGTCACATACCATATAGAGATTCAAAAATTACTCGGCTTCTTCAAGGTAAACTTACTCATTGCCTTTTATTTGAGTGGGGTTTTATAAGCAGGTTTGGATTCTCTTGTACTTCAGATTCTCTTGGAGGCAACTCGTACACTGTCATGATAGCATGTGTTTCTCCGGCCGATTCTAATGCTGAGGAGACTCTGAGTACATTAAGGTGATGGTTTGGTACTTATTAATGCTTTATTGGTATGAGTACCACGAAAAAAAACCTTAGCAGTGACATGGGTTTTCTCGTTGTTTGAATGCTCGAGATATTTTTCACAACGTTTATTGCTCCAAGGAACTCCTCAATAGAGAAGGCTGTCTATCCCTCGTTTCTAGCAACAGCCCTGTAATCCGATTTTCCATGTGTAGTCCGTAGCTACGGAATGCCGCGGGAAACGGAGAATTCCTCTCGTTGATTTTGGCCTTGATTTGCTTATCCCACAGTTTGAAATACGCTTGTATGAATGGGCCTCCTGTTGTCACTATATGATTAATTTGCGGTATAATAATGGCAATAATCAATAAGGATGGATGTCGTTCATTATGTGAGAACTAAATACTTTGCCCTCTCGCATACCAACTTCCAGACGTATGGATGGTTCTTCGGAAAGGTCGTTCTTCAAATTTTCTCTTCTCAAAAGATACGAATTTGTCGGCCTCGAAGGACAAAAGGCTTTGTTCGCTCGGAGCAGCCGATTTGGACCACTGGCCGCGCGTGATTGGAGGGCCATTTGACTACATCACTTCTTCCTCAAGGAAAACATATGCAGCTACGAGCAGATGTGACTATATTCGTTTTGAGAGGTTCCCTTCCGCTTTTGGGGTGTAATCGGTTATTTGTAGAAGTTTATTTCGTTCCTGGATTCTCCAAAGTCATCTATGACCGCCGATTCTTTTGCTTATTGAGCATTACACAAATTTCCAGTAAAGCCCCATCTCCGAACCATGTTGCTGTCTGGGCAGACCACCATCTATCTTTGAGAACCAAATCTTTCTTGTATTCGTGCTCCTCTTAGCGGTTACATATTTGATATTTTCAACCTCGAATTCTCCATTCCAGGTATGCAGATCGGGCTAAAAAGATCAAAAACAAGCCAGTTGTTAACATCGACGCTGGCCAGCAAAAGATTCTTGAGCTTAAGGAGAAGGTTTGATTGGAAATCTGTCAAATATTTTTTTCTACTTATATTTCGATTGCATATTTAGGTTGCTACCCTCGAAAGGCAACTGGCTGAAGCTCGTATGGGTTTTACACCAGGTGGAGAAACGAGGTGGGTCCTATTAGTGGAATTTTCTAAATATTCATGCATTTGTTACTTTTCTGCTGCTCGTCATTCTTCTGTTTAGCTCGTTGGAAATTGCGCAATTGAAGGCAAGCTTGGCTGAGAAGGAAGAGCTTCTAAAATATGTACATGAGAAAACAGCTGATATTATTTGCCAAAAGGTACGCGGGATACTGTTGCAGCCACCTTCACCGTGTATATTATGCCCCCATTATATTGGCTAATGCCGTTTGGACTCCAGCAATTTCGGCACCGAGCTCATTTTTAAATTGCCTAAGTCACCAAACCCGCTGAAAACATGTACACAAGGGTTATTTAACATCGTGATTACAATTATGACACTCATTCTTGGCGCTGGCGCCAAGAGATGACACTACGATTACCTCCTGGGCTCAGCCTTAGCAGAGCGCAGATAATCGTAGTGTCATCCATTAGCGCCAGCGGCAAGAGTGAATGTCATATTCGTAATCAGGATGTTAAACTACCCCTACATACAAGTTTTTAGCGGATTTGGTAACTTAGGCAATTTAAAAATGAGCTCGGTGCCGAAATTGCTGGAGTCCAAACGGCATTAGCCCATTATAGTGATTGAAACCGGCACGAATATTTACAGACAAAACTCTGTAATCAGTTGCAACACCTCGAAATGGAACGTGAAAAGCTCAAATCGATTGTGACGCAAGTTCTGGACATTATGAGGTGAGCGTGCTCCTATTCAGGTCTTCAGGCACTACACGTTGGTTTGTCTACGAGTTTGAGCTAGGTTATTATTTCAAGTTCACACTCTAATGTGGGAAAGTGAGCAAGTACTCTTATTGATATTGAAGGCAGCTCCGCGATTGCGTATTGTGCCGAGTGCGTTCAGTTACAAACCGGTAGTTGCTATGACTTTAGGGAAAAAGAACAGCGAAAATCGTGGGGAACACCTTAAGTGAAGACCTGGCAGCCTTGCGGGACGAGTTCTCTGTGCACGCTCTTTTTATGCTAGCAAAGCGGTACTCTGCCGGCTCTAATCGTTTCTTCGCTTCATACAGTGCTAACTTCGGCTGACAAAAAAAAACAAAATGTTGAAATACAATTGTGTAAGGAAATAATCCCTGATTCCGATGGGTGGGGAAACTAGGAAAGCGTCAGAATTGCTACTTATGAGGTCCGCAGTGCCTTCGTTACTTACTGTGAAGCTCTTCTGAAGGGGATTGTTCCAGAGACTGAGGGTCGGGCTACTGTTACAAGGAAAGTCGCCTACGAATTGTTCAGGCACGAGACTAGTCTTCAAGTAGGTACTAGGCTGCGATTGTATGCTCTCACCACACTCTGAGTTTTCTATCTCGGCTTTTATACTTCTCGCAGTTTTGTTAATGCAGTTACCCCAGATTGTTGTTGTTGTGATGTACATTTTATATTTCGGGATGGGGAGGGCATGCTGGCATATTACAGCTGCACGTGGCGACGACTGCGCTCGGGTATTGTGGTTTTGGGACAATTATAATAATTTCTTTCTCCAACACAGAGGGCGATGGCTCTGTCATATGAAGCACGAATAATGCCTTGTACTCGTTTTTCAGAAGAAATCCATGCCCTGCCCATCTTTGGTATAGGGAGTGTGGCGTCGTCTGAGCTAAAATTTTTTGCATTTCTCGTATCCCCGGTCAGCTGAGGAAAGGCATTTAGGCCACAAACCTTGTCATATTTCGATTTCACTGCTTGCACTTCAATATCATCTTCCGAATTCACTGCTTGCACTTCAATAGCGATGTGCAATTTACAATTTAGCCTCTAACACGGCCGCGAGAAAGTAAATGTCCAAGAGCAGAGTTGCTGAAATTCAGTTCCCTGGCTTAAATTTTCCTTCGTATTTTTCATAAGGTATGCTTCTTACATATAAACTACTTGCAATAAGTGCACCTGCATGAATATAAGCTGCTCCCTATGTCTACACGCTTTCTTCTCTTGTTTCCCTTCTTGGGTGGGCTTAGAGTATTCACCATCGCTTCCACCCGCGGTACGGCCCGGATCCTTTGTGGCTCTTGAAGCTTGAGTATGCTCCCAGCAAATTGCCTTAAGATGACCTCAACATTGCTTCGAATCGTTCTATTGCACAATTTCTTTATTCTCTAATGTAATTCTTTCTTGCTAGGGATGGCGAGAACTCGGAAAGCACTGAATTATACGACGTATAAACGACATCGTAACTCAGGATGTGATTGAAGAGGAGGTATGCCGTTGTTTGCTTTCTATTTTTGCTTTCACATCGGCTTTATTCTTCGACATCCTTTTCAATTAGGAACCAGATCCTTCGATGTCAAAAGGATCTTCTGGAGACTTCGAGGGCGATGCGATGGACGAAACGTTCAGTATGAAGTGAGGTTACATCCGTTGAATTTATTCCACTTTTCTTATTAGACTTGAGTTTCTCGAGTTAAATGGCTTGCTACTGTTTGTTCTAGAGGGGTCAATCTTCAAAACTCGTGTAGAGAACATGCAAACAGCTTTCATGTCTTAATGTGCAATAACAGGAGTTTGGGTTTCTAATTCGGATTCTTTAAAACCGGTTTCATGCTGTTTCTCGGAATTCCCTAAGACCCTCCATTTTGAACTTTGTTAATGGCTTATGATAATTTCTTCTTTTCTCAAAATTCTCATTTAGATTCGTTGATAAACAAACTATTCTTGGCAAGGAGCTGGATGATGTTATGCAGCAAATAAAGGACAAGGAAGAATTGCTTCAGAAAGCCATGGAAAGTGAGAAGAATGTTGATGAATTGATGAAGCAGCACAAGGTCAGTTAGCACTATTTGGACTTCTCGTCCTTAGAGCGAAACATATTGTTTTCAGCAAGAAATGGCAAATCTTCAACAACGAATTGATGCTCTAATGGCTGAGAAAGCTAAGTTAGAAGCCGATTTGAGGAAAATATCCGTGAACAACAAGTGAGGTCTTTTTGAAGGATTTTTTCTTATTTATGGTTATTTTCAAGTCAAATCTCGTTGTTTCATATTGTTATGCTTTGCAATACTATGCTGTTCAGACTAGCTGAAGAGCAGAAGAGAAAACTATGGAAATGGGAGAAACAGCTGGCTCAGTTCAAGAAGCGAATGAATGAAATGAAGAAATTGGAAAAGCAAAAGCAGCAAAGCGAAGAAATGCAGAAGCGAATGCAAGCTGAAATCGCAGCTCTGAAACAGGTCATTTCTGTCTGTTTTGATTGCTCTCGTAAACGTTAGACGTAACATAAGGTACTTTCAGGCGAAGGTACGAATGGTGAAACAGCAGAAGGAAGAAGCGGAGAAGTATCGGCAGTGGAAGCTGAAACATGATAGAGAGTTGATCCAAGTGAAAACAGAAGGTTGTTGACTCACAGTTTTCATTCCACAGTTTTTTAGACTCGTTTCTTCGTTATTTAGGAACGTAAAAGAGATTTTGAAGCAGCTCGTGAAAAAAGGGCACATGATCAGCAAATGCTCGTGTGTAAGCAGAAGCTGGAGGAGGCAAAGAATGTTTAACAACGCTCTGCTGGGCTCAAATGGAACGAAGTGCGGCGTTTTCTCGTGAGAAACCAGGCACCGAGAAGACTTTTGATCAGGCTAAGGTAGTATTCTCGAACGCAGTTCTAAAGCAGCTTGATATAGTAGAGTGAAGTATTGAACTAGTGTACTGTGGAATTTCGGGAGATTTCGGCGTTATTCAGCAATTCATCGAAGCTGAGTTGTCACTTATTGGAAGCTCTTACGAAGCAGAGCAGATGTGCCAGTCGCTCAAAGATCAGAGAAGGCAGCTTGGACGAAAGAAGGCTCGTCTGCTAATTCAACGGGAACGCTATGTTTCTCTTGAAGAGCCACTTAAGAAGGTGAGGGATGATTGGAAAAATATCTGTTCACATCCATTCCCTATAACCATTGTTTAAGAGGCGTTCTACTGAGGAAGGATCCGCCCTTTCTGCTGAGGATTGTGAAGCGTTGAGAAAGATTGACGAAGATTTAGAGAAAATTGACCATCAACAAATGCTGTGGTTAGTTTCTCAGAATCATTCTTGCTCAAGACCAGGTCTGTCTGTTGACTGCTCAAAGTTACCGGAGTAGTATTTTATATCCTTTTTTTTCAGTAGCGATGAGCTGAACAAACTCCAAAGAGGTTGTGGTTCCATTGATGTGGACAGCAGAGCAGAGTCCAGATGGAAGGATCTTCTCACCCTCAGTTCTGCACGCGTCTACCTGAAAGCGTTGTTCGAACAAGTGAGATTTCGATTGGTCGTAATTATATCCACATCTTATCTATTATTTATCGTATAAGCAGGCGGAACGAATGTGCCAAAAACATGGTGTAACACTTAGTATTCGGTTGGGAAGCCGCTCGTCTTGATTTCAGCCATCATTCTTCGCGGAGTTGACCCTTGAGGCCTCCAAGAATGTCACGGGTATTTTCTCCCAGATAGCAGCCTTCATTCTTCGCAGGGTCGACCTCACAATACATCCAAGTACAATATGTCCGCTGGTATTCCATCCCCTTTCTTTTGAAAAATAGCTTCGATAGTGAACGACTCTCCATTACTAGCCTTTCCAGGCTTTTGACTGTACGCTAGGGTTACGGTGCAGGCCTTCACTTGGTCACTTCATCGCCAGGATAGTAACTCCTGGCTGCCTGATCCACTTCTTCGCTTACTCCGCTAAGGAACATCCACTACTCTGGAGTTGGGTCTGCCTAGCACGTATACGTGCGCTTTGGAGACAAACTTCATGGTAATAATAGAGGAAGTAATTAACAAATAAGTGGTGATGACTTGATTAATGGTGCGATTCCTTGGCTCGTTCCACGTTTTCGTTTTCAGTAAGTAATGGTTGCCCAGGAGGTGTTGGTTTAGTGTAGTGTTGTTTTGATTGCGTATAAAGGCTAGGTGAGGGGGCGGTGCTGTAGCGGTAACTCGGTGCTGTAGCGGTAACTGACTTGCTTACCTCGCGCAGTCCCGCCTCGGCTCCCGCGTAAGACAACCAAGCCTTCGACCACCTGATGATAAACTGGTACCAAATTCGTCGGGGAAGATAACTACAATGACTTGTATTGCCTGTCACACAATACACCTGGGTATGGAACACATAGCAATGCAGTAAGTCACTAGGTTCCGTGAGTGAAAATTAGAACGTATCGGCATCCTTAACAAAGGACCAGATCCAGAGGGACACTTTGGCCTTCTATCCTTCTTAAAGCTTAGGGTTAGGACAGAACGAGCTACTGAGGGTTGCCGGGCAATTCCAAGAGGTTTTTAGTATGAGATGCATCCTGGCCGTCCTTTCACTTCACATGCTCCTCCAAAGTCTTTATCTCTCCTTTTCTCACTTCAGGCAGTAACCGACCGAAGAACGATTTGGACCGACCATAGAGCCTCGACTCGCAGTTAACAAAAGCGGCTCCAAAATAAGATCAAGGATTTGGAAAACAGTGCACGTGATAAGAAGGTTAGAATTGTTTTTTGCTAGTAAGCTGGGATGATGGAGCAATTCTGAAGGCTAGCCTTTCAGAAAGACCACGACGAAGAGTTAGGAATGCTGAAGGAAAAACATCGGAAGATTCTGATGGAATATGAAAATCAGAGAGCACATGCGGAAATGCAGGTGAGAGTTTTCCCTAGTGAGTTCCTGAAAGAATATGTAGCAGCCTTTCTTGCTTAGAATGTGTAATGTGATTTGGGGGGGGGGGGAGGGTGGGGGTGGTAATTGGCTTGTGATGTATTCAAGTTAGACACTTATTTCTGTCGTGATTGTATCAGCCGCAAGAAGTTGTATTACGACCAGCGCGAAACTTTGCCTTGATGATGGGCAGATACGAGCGTAACAATTAAATCTCTTGCGATCTCGTGACCTTAACGAATTTTTCAGTACATGAATTTGGTGACTTTGGTGAGCACCTCTAAAGTCATTGATAGCACTGCCGTCGAAGAAATGAAGAAGTTACATGACGATATTGAGCGAATGCGTGAGATTAAAGGAGATTTGAAGAAGCCAAAGGTACGGATGAACAATATTATTCTTTTACTCTAAATTCTTTCCACTTCTGGAGCGGCGTACAGCATTTTTTGCCCTGTTCTGTAGTTGTTCTTCATTCTTTAGACTGGCTTTGGGACGTTCGCGGTCATCATCGTGCATGGAACGCATGAGCCCAGTTACCCTAACAACTGAAGAGGAACGCCGCACACGCTCTTCTCGTCATGTGCTCAGGGACAGATTTGGAAATGTAAGTCTATTTTCGGAGCCTTCCCAGTTTTTCATAGAACTAAGAAAAAAAATTAGGTCAAAAATCCTATCAAGGAGGTAGAACCTGGCTCAGAGGAAGATGATAGCATGTTAGACGTCTCTTCTATTCACGCTAGGAGAACGACAAGTCGGAAAAGGAGAACGAGAGTGGTGTACGTTTGCAGTAATGCTACCATTCCATGCAGGCAGCTTTATGTTGAGGCTTTCAGGACCGATCTGTCACCCATCCCGGACTTGAGTCGATGCCAAGAGCCTGACGGACCCTGTTTCACCTCGTAGCCGTCGGTTATCAATGATGTTGCACAAAGCTCCTTCTCCTCTCGATGATACACCAGAAAAAGAGGTTTTTATTTAACAACAACAGCAACAACTTTTTTGTTGTCTTTTAAAGGAACTAGATCAGGATATATTGCAGAATGCCATGGACCAAACCTTTGTTGTGAGTGAATCCGTGGGGAGTTCAGAATGCGGGGATTCCAGAAGTGCGGTGAGTGAAGTTTCTGAGCAATGTGTAACTACGTTTGAAATTTTAGTATGACAGCTGGCTCCAAGCAGATTGATCTTCTCTTTTTACCGTTTCTTTCAGGGTGATGTGGGGAATCCTGCGAGAAGAGCTACCTTGGTGTCCGGGCTTGTTCCTCATATCGATGTCACACTTGGTCCTTTACCATCGTCCTGAAGCGCTGACATGCAGACTTCGACTCCTGTATATAAGTAAAAGTATCGAGGCCTTCCGGATCACTTGTCATTGTATTATAGTCTCATATAGATCATTGTCTTTGTGACTAGTTATGTGTGGATATTGATATACTGTGTATTAAAAATCATTCAAACACTTTTCTGTGTACTCTGTTGTTCTGATGTGTTGACACAGGAATATTTGAACGAATATTTGACGCGCATATACTGCAAGAATATGCTAGCCCTACGGCTTGTATTTGTTGGAGGCCTCAGTTTCAGATGGATACAGACAACCGGAAGTCCTTTCCGGCTTGGACACCCCCGGAAATTATAGCAGCTTACTCGGAGAAGGTAGGCTCTCAAATTTCTGAGCAGATTTCGCGCAGCGCTTTCCAGTTTGGATGTTTTGCTTTTTTCGTTGCCTTGAAGGGGCGCTCTGTAAGGGTCTATGTCTGGTGTTTGGTCTATATTTTACTTGTATGTTTCATACCACGGAACTTCTTTAGTTATCTGGAATTCGAGAATCGTAACCCCCTCCAGTGAGAAGCATGTGCTCGTTGTGTGGTTAGGAAGTACAGTCATCCGTGCAGACGGTAGGACATGTGATGGGGCGTGGGCTGGAGCCCTGCCAAAGCGGTGTTTCCACCAACGATGCCATCCTGAGTCCACAAATACTGGCGGGAGGGGTTGTTCTGGCTGCGATCCAACTCGCACACTCTATCGCTTGCAGGGGTCATGAGTATATTTGGCCGTACAGCCTTTTCTTCGTGATCCTGGGGAGAACAGTTCCTTTTGACGGCCATTCGATAGTTATGCTTGATGATACAATCTGAATAAAATCAGTCCATTGCATCTATCTGCCGGAGGGTATGTGACGGTAGAGCCACGCGGCGTCGCGCGCGATAATTTTAAAAACCGTATGGTTACGAGAGCGGTGCGCGTTCGTGAGAGCGTTCATAGTTCGCGACAGCAGCGGCGATCGCCAGCGATCGCCGCGATCGCCCGCGATCGCCGGCGATCGCGGCGATCGTCGGTGCATGGCAGCGCGCGCCCCAACGCTATTGTGGATGCTCGCCTGATGAATAAGGGAATTCAACTCGTAAAGACCTTCTTTACTCTTAATAAGGGCTACTAACAGATAAACTACGACTTTTTAGGTCGGGGTAAGACCAACTCCATTTCCTGGGTGAGCTTCTTTTGTTTTGTTTTTATTGTTTCAATTTATGCATGCGCCTCAGGAATTCCTATCGTCTAAGTTGCTCCAACTTCCAAAACATTCATAGTTTACAAGCCGAGTTCAAACAACGAAGAAAAAAAAGAAACAGAAAGAAACTCTCCTAGGAACCAAAGCCCTAATCATTTTACGCGACATCAAGAGGTGAAAACTTCATAAACCTCATGTACAACCTCGACGAATGAAAAAAGAAGCAATAAAAACGTACGTCAAGTGAAGCTCTGGCGCTTTTTGCTCATTTCTATCCTAAATAATAAAGAAAATAGAAAACAAAAGCGATTAGCTGGGCTCGCCTTCCCTTGTGTCAAACCAAGCTTCAGGTATAAGAGAAAAATTGCAGTCAAAGGAAAATATATATGTCATAAAATGAAGCGCTTACCGCCGCAGCAAGCCTTCGGACGCAAGTAATAGCGTTGGGGCGCGCGCTGCCATGCACCGACGATCGCCGCGATCGCTGGCGATCACGGCGATCGCGGCGATCGCCGCTGCTGTCGCGAACTATGAACGCTGCCCTTATGGTTTTGTTAGCGCTACGAAACATTGCTATTCTTTCAACTCTGCAGTCCATCTGTCGGTCAAACAGTCAAATGCATCAAAGAAGAGCTTGTCAGCATAAAACGAACAGGAAGCGCTGTTTTCTAGGTTCTCCACTGTTAAGTGTGCTATACTAGCGTTTTTGTGAAGGCTCAGCCTCTTTACATGTATACCCTTAAGAATGCAAAGTATTGCTCTGACCATATCACTGTTCAGAATATCAGATACTTATTCGAATGGCAGTCAGACGTATTGGAATTCGCAGAAGCAAATGATTGCAACATTGTGTATAGTGCCCCAACCAGTGCTGGAAAGAGCATCGTTGCCGAACTCATCGGTAGAATTCGTTTCAAGTGGGCGATTTCCAAATAAGTAGTACTAAATTTTGCAGCTCTTCGTTTGGCTCTAACAGGCAGAAAGGTACTCTTCTTGCTTCCCTACATATCAGTAGCGAGGGAGAGAATGCATTTTCTTCAGGTGATTTTCAATTTGGTTCGGTTTTATTATATTTGTACTTGTCCTCGATGTGAAGGATGAGACATTAGTTACCATGAAGTTTCGAGATGTAAATTAGTGGAATATTGTGGACGTGTTCGTAACGTAGTCTTCAGCGCTAATTCTGAAGAAAAACAGTCTGTGTTGAATTGAAAAGTCACCAGTGTCGATAAACATTAGGAAATCCAGTAACACTTTTGCATAGAACTTTGAAGATCTTCCCTAGTTGCAGCGTGCTTGGCGCAGAGTAGACGTGCAGGTAGCTGCCTTTGTCGGTGCTCAGTCTGCACCTTCACGAGAGTGGACTGCGGCGGTATGCACTACTGAGAAGGCGAATAGTCTCATCAATCATGCAATACTTGACGGGCATATGGAAGAGATTGGTACGTGTGGTTTACAAACTGCACATTCACCTCCGTGGATCCTGGTCCCTGCCATGTGCGATGAATGGGTCCGAAGCTGCAGTAGCGCGCCACTCCAACACTGGAAAAAAAATCCGGGAACGGGGTTGCAGGGTAGTTATACCCGGGTGCCGTCTCCACACGCTGCAGCTTTTTCCGCAATGTGCAGCTCTTGCTTTAGTGCCGAGATTCCGTATCGGAACACGCATTCACCGGCAGAGGACAACTGAAAAAGAGAGGGCACAGACAAGTAGCGCGTTTGGCTGCGGTTGGGCGTGTAGCTGGCTGTGCGGTAACGCGGCCGGAGTCAGGAGACGACGACACTCGGGTAACAGTACCCTTCAGCCCGTGCTTTTTTCCGTTCCCGTGCATTTTTGATCGAATGTGTGTTGCACGCTATTGGCCGATTCACCTCACACTTATGACAAGGACCAAGGGTGTGCAGCTTGCTTCCAATGTTTTCTTTGTAATCGTCGTTCACAACCTGGTATTTGTAGGGTTGGTAGTCATCGATGAGCTGCACATGGTCTACGACTCATCGCGGGGAAGTGTTCTAGAGTCGCTATGTGCGAAAATCATGCTGTGGAATTCACGGTAGGTGTCGCCGAGGGTTTGTAGGGTCCACTAATCGTAGTCTCGCATTATATTATGTTTTTTACGTGAGCTAGCTTACACGGGCTCGGTATAAAGTGAAGCCTAGGTGACGCAACCAGAGGAAAGAGACCTGAAAAAAGCCCCGTGCAGAAAAAGAACGTTTCAAAGATGGTAGCAACGTGTGGGAACAAAGGAAGGATTGACGAATACTGAGCATGATATGCATGTGGTAAGATGGGGAGAAAATGAGGGCGAGCGGTGGGAGCGTTTGGATCCAGGCTTAACCCGTTTAGCTACACCACCTTTATAGGTGGGTAACTTCTCATAGGTCTCTTACAAGGGAATGGTTTCAACTTCCCATGGAATTTTGAACGGAGACCTAGGTACATCGATAGTCTCGAATGCTGATTACGAATATGCAGATTAAAAGTGCTACGGGGACCTCCCAGACGAGTTCTGGGCGGTCAAAGTTTGCGAAAACTCAGTTTTGGCTCGTAAGCGCTGCTGATCGATTGCTAGGCAGTGCCACCGTGGCCTAGTGGTAACGGTCTCGCTTCAAAGGCAAATGCTTGTGGGTTTGCATCCCGTTGGCGCGAAAGTTTTTGCTTCGTCTCCTATAAGAGCTTTTACTCTAATTTTGTTTACGACCCAGCAGAGCAAGTAGGATCCAAGTAGACCAGATATGACGTA